CGCCTCCTCCCGAAAACACTCGTGGGGGATGACTTTTTCAGCGCTTGGACGGCCTTTGCCTTGGTGACGTCGTGCTCCAAGAGGCACGCGAGGACCTCGCTTCGGTCGCACGAGGCCGCGAAAAATCATGCCGCTGTATGTAAACCCCTCGGAGCGTTCCGCGAGAAGAAATTGGACGATGCCCAAGTGGCCTCGATCTGCGGCAAAGTCGACGGCGCGCGTCGTGCAGCCTTCGTGTCGATGCTTATGCAAGAAGCGCACCATGGCTTCGTTGCCCTCGTACGCCGCACCGTCCATGGCCATCGTCGACCCGCCCTCGCGGCGGTGCTCGATGAGAAAGTCGAGGAGCGGTCGGTTGCCGCGGACCGCGGCCGCGTCAAATGCCAAGGTCGTGCAGCCTTCGGTCCGGTTGAAATGGAGAAACTTGACAATGTCGAGGTGGCCTGCGCAGGCGGCGGCGTCCATCGCCATCGTGGTGCAGCCTGTCTGTTGCTTGTGCAAGAACTTGACAATGTGGCGGTGGCCCTTGTACGCGGCGACGTCCATCACGCGCGGTGGGCATGGCGCTTGGCGTTGCGTGACGAGATACCGGAGAAGCCCGAGGTGGCCATAGCGCGCTGCATACAACGTGGCTTTCTCCGGGATCGCCAAGTGCGGAAAGTGCTTAAAGAGGAACGCGATCGTGTCGAGATGGTGGTGCTTCATCGCGCCTTCCAGCGCCGCCGACGAGATCCCGCTGCACTCCATCTCGTGGAGGAAGGCAAGCACGCCGACATGGCCGTTGGACGCCACGCGGTCCATGATCAAGTGCCGACTTCCAGACGTAAAGTTGGCCATGCGCGACACATCCACGCCTTTCTCGTACACGAGGTACTGGAGGAAGCGGAGATGACCGCCGAGCGCAGCGGCCGTCGCCAGCGTCTCTTTGGCCTGGAGAAACGGTGCGAGCACGTCGAGCCACACGTTCTCCATCGGCGCGGCGAGGAGCGCGGTGGTGTAGAACGCCTCGGCCGCATCGTCTTGCTTCGGATACATCGCCCGTTCGTACCACAGCAAGACACCTAACGACGGGTTTCGGTCGTAGAGCAACTCCTTGACCTGTGCGTACATGCGACGCGACCGAATGAGGCGGGTCTCGGAGCGTCCGAGCGTCATGCGCTGGTGTGGAAGCGATCTGAGGTCGCCGAGCCAGTCGCACCGAAAGGCGTCAGCCCAAATGCTTCTCTCGATGTCGGACCACTCGGACCTTGGGTAGCCCTCGTTGAGGCGTCCGTTGATCCACTGCGTGAGCGGGCCAGCGTACGCAAAGATCAGTGCGTGGAGGTCGGCCACGTCGGCCCAGTACGTCGTCATCTGTGCTCGTCGATGACGTTTGCAGAATGACCACCGACCTCTTGACACTCATGGCGGGCTCATTGTTATCAACTATCAAGTCAAAAGAAGCACGTCGCACAGCTGTTCAATTCCATGTATATCATATTCAATGTATCAGGTATAAATATCAATACACACTAATACAGTCGTATTAACATGTAATATAAGTGCTTGATACTTGACACGAACGTTGTCTCTTGCGCCAAAGGACGCGCAACGGTACACCGTCTAATCCAACAAATAAACTCGCGTCGAGACCGTTGCGTCTCTAAAAAACACTCATGTTGCACAGAATTGTCTATCGGCACGTCGACCGCACTCGTTTTTACAAGACGAGAAAGCCCCCACGGCTATTTTCACTCAACCGATCCGTGGTCTCGAGGTTCGTGTTGCGAAGCGTGCTACCGTTCTGCGACCGGTTGCGGCTCACGGCGGAGCGCGACCGTGCCCGCTCTTCGAGTTGCTACAGACACCACTCCAGATGCGTCCAAGCGACAGAAGCAACGTACGCTACGGTTGTCCAGGTTGCGCGTCAGGCGAAGGAGCGCTGCCGACGTCGACGCGTCGTCCTTACTACTCATCGCACGCGAGCCAAACCGAATCGACCGGTTCGTCGGCGACTGCCGCGAGTTGGCAAGCTCTGCAAAGACCGAGTCGGGCTTGAAGAGCAGCTACACACCATGCCAGCATCCAGACCCGCGCAAAAAAACGCGACTAGAAACACGCAACGCTACCTCGTTGTACGTGCCCTGCTCGACAATTTCGCCGGCTTGCATGACAAAGATGACGTCGGCGTTCTGCGTCGTCGCAATGCGATGCGTGACCGAGATAATCTAGTGGAGCATTCATAAACCATCCAAAAAACCTCCAAATCCAGAATCGAAATCTGTACCGTCATGTCCAGCGAGCGCACAAGCTTCTCCAGCGTCTGCACAATGCTGGCTTCGGTCTCGGGGTCCAGCGCGCTCGTGGCTTCGTCCAGCAAG